GTGTGTGTGTGTGTGTGTATGTGTGTATGTGTGTTGGGGGGGGTACTGTATTAGAAATATTTCAGTCAGAAGATTTTTATTCGCTTTAACCCATGTTTAATACTGTTTATTTACTGTCTCAGTTGTGTGTGGTGTTTAATTTCCATTTTGTTGTTCTTTGTTTTTTATTCGTGTATTTTTTTTAGAGATTGAGAGTCCATTTTGTTAATTATTCTTTAAAAATTAAAGTTTGATTTTTGAGAGGATGTACTTACATTTTTACACTATTGTCATTATATTAGTTTTAAAATGGTCACCAGACAATATTATCATTTATCGCAATAATTTCTGAAACAATTAATCATTCAGCAAAATTTGTTATCGTGACAGGCCTAATGGCTCATATATTTGCTGGTGAAGACATAAGACTGGTTATACCTTCACAATCTGTTTGATAATTTGTTAATTTTGTAAAGAGAATAAATTTTGTCTTTAAGTAATAGTGTAGCTCTTTATTGTTACCCAAAATACTCCTCCATAAAGTGACCCAGCAATCCCCCAAAATAGCCACGACATCCACTCTCACAGGTCGTTGTCTGTTTTTACAATGTCCTCTGGTTTCCGTTTCACACTTCTGAGTTCTGTTGAAAGGCTTGTGTCACTAAACTGATGTTGTCACCTGCTGTGAACAGCCCCTCGTCCTGCCCCCCAGTCTGAAGGAGCACCTCCTGGACTTCGGTGTCCGCAGTGCAACAGACACCAGCAGCATCATATTCGTGGTGGTCAACAGTAACCCCATCGAGGTGAGAAGTGACGCGGGCTCGTGATGTGACTGGTGTCACGTGTTGCCAATACTTCAAGAATGATATTCTGACCACATGTTTACGTTTGTTGCTCAACTTGGAGTTGTGTAAGCCTTATTGACACAATCAGTTGAGTATGCTTACTTTGGACTTTTCCATATTTTGAGGTCAGCTAAATCWTGTTGCGACACAAGTGTTTGTGTTAACATCCTCATCCCCACAAAGGCTGAAGACAAGTTGAAGTACAACCACATGTGGTTCAGCAAAAGAGCTTTATCTGGAGAGAATGATGCACCTTTATGGTTTCTGTTCTCCAGCTGGAGATAAAGTCCTGGCTGGTGGTCGGAGACAGTCTTTCCATGGAGCTGCTGAAGACGGAGAAAGGAAACACCACAGCAGCCCTGAGTCGCCTGCAGGAGCTGCACAACACCTCAGCCTCGCATCACAAAACAGTAAGACCTCCCAGGTGTCATCAGTGCTGCACAAGAGGCTGCARACGTTTTTGAATCCATCTGTAGAGTGAGCACTTTGTGGAGTACTACAGAGATGTAGCCGGGTTTGGAGGCTCTGCAGGAAATTTGGCCATTTTGTTTTCAGCCGTGCCATGTGATTTTTACTTTTACACCACGTTTTGTTTATCTTTATTGGAAAACAGTACAAACTGACCTGTTCGGTCCTGCTTTAAGATAAGATAAAGCTGATGCAATACAGGAGAAGTTTCCATATTAGAGCTGCATAAATCAATACATTTTTAAATTAATAAAAAAAATTGGGGGGRAAAAGGAATTCAGACAAAACAAATAATAGAAGAGTTAAAGCACAAAACTATTGTGTTGTGGAGGATATCTGCACATTTACATGGGTTATGATGTACAGAGAAAGCATCAATGCACCAACAGTCAGAGCCATCAACAACAAGCCTTATAAGAAGCTTGTTTGTTTAAAGGAAAACTATTTTTATGTGTGTGTAAAATTGTGTGTCAGCTGGAAGAGGTGAAGGTGGCACTGTTTGTACCAAAGGTATATTTGTTTATAGATGAATAATCAGAAAGAATCTGTGTGAGTTTTACTCTACTACAGTTTGATGCAGCTCGAGAGGTTCTGTTCATAATGCTACTTATCGAACATCCATCTCTGCAAAATTGGGCAGTGATTGTTAGCTTAATCAAGTTTCACCCCCCTGTTTTTAACAAATGTTTAACTTAAAATAGTTGTATGTTTCTAAAATAAAAAAATGAACTGGAGAAGTTCAGATGYCTTCTCAAAACTGTTTACCTGCTGATGTTTTAGGAGAAAACTTCTTATYAATGACTCCCAGTAAACAATGAATGATAACACAGAATATTGACTTGTCAGCTTGTTCACTCTGTAGTGAGTCAGCCATGTTGCAGAGGTGTTTAATAAAAGGAGTGTTCAGAAGTTGTACTCAACATCAGTGATTCCCAACCAGGGGTATGTGTACCCGTTGGGGTACGCAAGCATATTACAGGGGGTACGTGAAAAAATTTCCCAGGTATGTAAAAAAATAAAATAAAAATAGGACTGAGATATATAGAGCCCTATCATTTCCGCAATGTAGAAAATGCAAACGGAATCATGAAATTGACACAAAATGTAATTCTGTATAAAACATGGAATCTCATGGAATTTGCTCATTTGTGGTATTTTTATTTTGGAGGCTGCTGTTTTCTGCACCTGCCATTACTTGGTTTATTTTTTAATTACTTGTTCACTTCTAAGGCAACATTTTGATCTTTATGTTTAATTTGAGTTGAAAACAATAAAATGCCTGAGAATTAAACGTTCTAGGGGGTTAATTAATAATTTTAATTTAATAATCGGCTGTTGTACATTATAGTTTTGGAGACTCATCATTACGTTTGACAGAAGGGAAGGGGTAGTGGTGACAAAATGGCTCAGGGGGTACACAAGTCTAAAAAGATTGGGAACCACTGCTCTACATTATTGGAAATAGACCATAATGCATTGTGTCTTGAGCAAACATAGGCTGTGTCCAAAATGGCAGACCAGGTCCTCCGAAGGCCGAATTCATCGGCCGCATACGTCACAGCGCCGCGACGAAGGACGTCCCAAACCCAAAACTCCTGATGCGGCCGACAAATACGTCCTTCCTTTTCCCCGATTTGAAGGACAGGTCCGATGGATCCTTCCCGGCCCAGCATATCCCATAATGCATTGCGGCCCGACTGGAGATTTTTTTAAGCTTAGTAATGGCAGTCAGTAACAGTAAATAAAGAATATGGCAGTGTTTTATATGTTTGAAGAGGAGTAGGAAGAAGTATAAACTTATTATGACMGCCGCACACAAAGTGTAAGCAGGACTCATACTGTTTTCGTACGGTTTATTTTTGTATTTATTTATTTTTTTCAGTGATTTTTGGTCAACCGTAGCACAAAAACAGTTACACCAATCAATATGAAATTTGGCAGGACTGTAGATGACTCCGACCTACACTGGGCCAGCCAACGGTTTTACGATAGACCCCATATTTGAGGAGGGGGCTCCTTTCAAATAGGGGGTGTCTGGACATGCAAAAATGCTTATAACTCAGAAACTATTAAACATAGGAGCTTCAGATTTCTTTTTTTGTTTAGCTCTGATGAAGCTCTATTCATCAGGCCCACAGTGCCCCCCACCCCCCGGACACCCAATTTATCTGAAAAAGGGGTAAATGGACATACAAAAATGGTTGTAGCTCAAAAACTATTAAACATAGGAGCTTCAGATTTTATTTGGTTGTTTAGCTTTGATGAGAGAAAAAAATAAAAGACCCCCACCTAAACCAGTACAATTTTGGGATGCACCTAGTAGCATGACATTTATTAGGAATAAAGACTTCTGAGTTCTGGTGCATTTGTGCGTGCGGGGGTCATTATGTTACCGCTATGCAGTATCTAGTTTCATTAGGCGATGGGGGTGAAAATTTGGCCCGGGGGCTTGTGACAAGAAGGTCAGGCAACACGAAACTGAGAACAAAATTACGCAATTGTTGTCACGCAAATGTGACTGAGAGCTTTGTTATAGTTGAGCTTTTAACTCAAGCTTTTATGTAGATTCTACAAACAATTGGATTTTAAGAAAAATGTTTTTATTTATTTATTTGTTTGTTTTTAAAATATGAGCAACAAAGTAGCTGAAAATACAGTTTGAAATAACTTCTTTGCTCTGGTATTGGTTTGAACTACAGGTACACAGGAACAAGTAAACCAAAGACCTTCTGAAATTGGTTTGGATTTAAAATTATAACCCCAAAAAGTAATTTCAGCCAGTGTCTGAAAAGAGAATCTTATACTCAAAAAGTTGTTTAAAGAATTCTTTTAAAAAAAGCATTAAAGTTGTCACCTAATAATAATAATAATAAATAAAGGTGGCTGATGACTTTTTTAATTTATCAGTTGTTAACCCGAAACACATTTGACAGAACTAAACCCACATAAATGATGATAAATTATAAAAAAAAACAAAGGGAATCAGCTGCTTTCTTTCAGAGTTACTACCTGGCTTCTTAACCTAAACAAGTCAGATGTTTTTGTTCTCAGTGTCTGTGTTTGTGTCTGCAGGTGATACTAGCATCAGGCTACTACGCAGCGTTCAGAGTGACGTTAGTGGCCAAAGCTCTGGAGGGCGCCTACGACGGAGCGATACACATCACTACAGATTATGAAGTGAGTTCAGCTTTTTGTTTTCGGGCAGAACATCCTCGCCTCACACGGAGCTTCATCCTCATCTGACTTACCTTTCTGCATCCTCAGATATTAGTCCTCCCAGTGAAAGCTCTCATTGCAGTGGGAACGTTAAAGAGCTCCCCTCAAAACATTGCGATGCCTCCTTCATTTCCAGTAAGTAAYGTTCAGGGTGATGCTTTCCACCAGTTCTCCTGCAGAAATGTGAGCTCAGGTGTAAAACTCCTGACGGTGTGTGTTTCTTCAGGGGAAGATCGTACACCAGAGCTTCAACATGCAGAGCTCCTTCACTCAGAAGGTCAGGCTGCAGCAGATCCGCTCGCTCACAGAGGATATCCGCTTCTATTACAAGCGGCTCCGCAACAACAAAGACGAGCTGGAGCCCAGACGGAAATCAAAGGTAGGAAACCCGCTTTTATGGATTAAAAAGTAATGATGTTAGCAAGCGTGAAGCTATTTTTTAAAATTTTCCCATGTTTTTCAGGTGGCAAATATTTATTTTGACGCCAGCTTGCAGTGTGGTGATTACTGTTATGTGGGCCTGCCATTTGTGCTTAAATGTAAGTCTGTGTGTGTTACGTTTCAATTTCTGACAGTCATCATTAGGAAATGAAGGCTTTTATTMTTTTATAGGGTAATAGGATTATTTTTTGGGTTGGTGTAGATGCTAAGTCATTCAGAAYATGTCAAGTCCAAAAGGTTTTAAAAACAAAATAACTGGACATTTTGCTCCCATCTGGGTAGTGTTATCRGTTCAAAACTGGAGAGTGTGGATTTTATGCCAATTACATCAAAGGAGCCAGACCAACTTTACAGAGGAGGTCTCAGATTTCAGCTTTCTGAACTTAGAATGTAGAATGCAGTTTTTAACTTTGTGCATGTGACCAAAACCTCTCTAATGATCCTCAGGAGAGAGGGGACTGAGATTAATCTGCGTAAACAGAGCCTCTCATGCACGTTTTAAAACTTAGATTTCTACTCTCTCCAGTGTTGAAATGATAAAGCTCTTAAGACAGGAGGTGAAAATATATTAAAGAAATCCAGTTGCTTTATTTTTACAAATGTAGTATTTGGAAACAAACGAAATTTGCTTTAATTTTTTTTTTCCAGGTCTGTTT